CATCCACTGGCGCCATGTCAATCACAGGTCACTCCACAGTCAATCCCTTCCCAACCACCCAGCCTAACATTTTGTTAATAGAACGAACTAGTTCATACTAATGAGTTGAGTCAAGATGTTGCTTTCTCAGCCACTCATCAAACTTCTGCTCTCTGGTACTCCTTTGTATGTTTTAGGAGAGATAGTCTATTAAACGAGCTCTCCCTCACTTTCATTTTTTAGTTCAATTAGTGCTTACTAATCTGTCTTATGTGAAGCAATATGCGAATGTTTACCAAAGGGGAGAGAGAGTTTGAATCTTGGAGGCTGCAGAGTAGAATATAATTACAAAAAGTTAAGGGCAAGCTCCTCAATACAGTTAGTTAACTATAGTTGTGAAGGTAACAGACTGTGTAAGAAGAAATTGGCATTCTGCAAAAGGTGGGTCAGAGATACACTTTGGAGAAAAAGGAAAATTCTAGTAAGTTAAGTCAAAGAATTTATGCATTATGACTTCACAATAATAGGTAGAATTTGGTAGATACTTAGGAAAAATGGCAAACCATTTGAATTAAAATTAAAAAAAAAACAAAATGTTTGTGAAAATTTGCACTTAACTCAAAGAGGATATTATACCTCAAAAGACTCATTCATTTTTACTGAGTGGATAATTATTTTATTTTGTCCTCCTAGAAAATAAAATTATTTATTTAGAAATACCCATTAAACACTTTTTCTTTGACTTAAGCAAACTTTAAGTGTACGATCACGGAATTTTAAAATGTATATGAGTTTTGTTTTTTTTTTTCCCCCCTAAGTTGAAGGTTTGGGTGAGATTTGAAATATTGAAGTGATAGATTTAATTCTGACTTTATGAAGGTTATTTTTTCAACAAGACATGTTTCAAATAGCTGACATTATTGAGTAACAAAAGAGATAAATATTTGACTTTAAGTAACATAAATAATGCTATTCATCAACAAATGTACAAAAAAACATGAAAGTACACAATCATTCCCTTTCTCATAAACTCTCAGCTTGATTCTATTCTCCCAGAGGACAGAAGAGGCTTAATAAATCTACCACAATCACAGGACAAGAGAAGGTTTATCCTAGAGACTTGAGCACAAATGTTCCTTCTCAGGAACTGTAATAACCAAACAGTGGCAGCAGAAACAATGAAACTGTTGAGGGCCACTTTTCTAACACCATAGTCCCTGATGTTCCTTTTCAGAATTACTTGTTTTGTAACACAATACACACATCTCAGCAACTGCAACTAGAAACCAGAATTTTTACCAGTTCAAACCAAACACAGACAAGTGTCGATCCCAGTGACCCTGTTCAGGGGGAGACCCCACATTGATTGCCTGGCATCTTTTGATGATGTTTTACTTCTCTGTACTTAAGAATACAAGTGTAAGCAAATGTTCAACTTCATATAATCACATTTAATATTTGTTTTAGTTAACATTTTAAAATAACTGTCTAGAGTACTATGAAAACCATGTCATTCTGACAGTTCTTCTGGAAAGTAATAATCATATCTATATCAGAGGGTAGTTTTGGGGAGTAAATGAGTTTACAAATGCCAATCATTTACTGGGTCCATTCAGTATTTGTCATATGTCATATGTAGTCATATTAACAAGTAAAGACATATAATCCAATACATGGTGTCATGTAGAAATTTATACAACTTACCAGATTCTTTTATATAATGATATAAAGAATACTTATTAGACTAAGAAAGACATATAAAAACAAATACTAATATTGGGTAAGTACAGCAGATGGGCCATATTTTTTTCTAAAATAAATTGTATAAAATAGTATTTATTGGAATTTATAGGAAAGAAATATAATAGCACTCACATTTTTGAGATGAGAAAATGGAAGGGTAAATATTAAATAATTTAATCCAGTAAACATGTATTAGGTAATTTTCCTCAAATTGTAAAAAATAACCATAATCTGTTGAAAATCATATGAGGTAAATTTTGAGTATCAATATGTATAAATGATGTACTCACATTTATTTCACCTAAAAACATAAAAATTGTTTGTTTATCCAACTGAATAAGTTTTCAAAATTATGAAAATTAACTATTTTATGTTTTTTAAGATTGTATTTATTTATTTATTATTTAAAAGATTTATTTATTAATATGACAGACAGAGAGAGAGCTGAAGCAGGGGAGTGGCAGGCAGAGCTGGTTAGTGAGAAGCAGGCTCCTTTTGGAGCAGGGAACAAGATACAGGGCTTGATCCCAGGACCATGGGATCATGACCGGAGCCAAAGGCAGAGGCTTAAACCCACTGAGCCACCTAGGTACCCCAAGATTTTATTTGCTTTTTTGACAAAGAGAGAGTGAGAGAGAACAAGCAGGGGGAGCATCAGAGGGAGAGGGAGAAGCAGGACCTCCACTGAGCAGAGAGCCCAACACAGGGCTCGATCCCAGGGACCTTACCCAAAGACAAATGCACAACAGCCTGTGCCACCCAGGCACCCCATTAACTATTTTATAACTTAGTAAGTAGTCTGTGGTTCTTCTCCACTAAACATTCAATAAGTATATTTTTAATTCTACTGTACAGACAATTCAATCATTAATTTAAAGTGGGACAGCCTTCCTGAAAATTGTTTCTCAGAAAAATTTGAGGAAAGATGTACCATTCATTATAAGTTATAGGAGAGAAGTAAAATATGAACAATCTCCTAAAATGTAAGCTCTTTATGAAGGACACTGCTGGTTAGAAACTACAGATTTAAAAAAAAAAATGGTGTACCTCAAGAAGAAAATTACAAACATAACCTATGTTATAGCCAAAACTTCCTTTTTCAGGGATATTCATCTCAAGTCTATCTTGATTCATTAAATACAAATATTGTCTTGACATTTAAATCCTTAAGTCTTATATTTTACAATAGAGTTTCCAGAATAACTTATAAGAATCAAAGTTTAACTGATATTTAACACAGAATCAATATAAAGACATAATTAGAGTTTAATTGACACAGAAAATCAGTGTGAAATCTCTTCTTCTGGCTCTTTTTTCTCTTTTCATTTTTTTTTTTTTTAATATAAGTAGCAAAAATGTTTGAATCCGACAATCCGATTTTCACTTAGGTGAAAATCACTTGGTGAATAGAATCACATTCCACTTCTTTACATTGCTCAGATATGTGCCTGAATTTGACCTAAAGCTATGGAAATTTGGACTAATATTAAATGTCTAATTAACAGTTACCTTATAAGATGATAAAATTTAAGAGGTCCTACTCACTGTAATATATAAGCTTTTCTGAAGGTGTGCTATGGATCTTAGCTCTCACATTAAATGCAAATGATTCAGTGTAAATATATTATGTTCATAAGTATCTACAATTTTAACATATTATAAAATATAAACATAATAGATAATTTAATAATAAATTTTGCTATAATATTTCAATTTTCAAAGGTACTTATATTTAATTAATTATCCTAGGGAATGGATGATGTAAACTTTTACTTACACACTCACACTCACACTCAACACAAGTCCACTGCGTTTTTCCTGTGATGATGAAGTCTAGTTATGATGATAGGCAGTCTTGTTTATTCATAATAATTTATTTATTATTAAAATAACTAAACTTTCATAACATTCGTTTTATATCTTGTTTATTTTTATTCCCATATGTTCTTGGTTCCAAAAAGACATTTTCAAAAACAAATTGTGTGCAACACAAATAAATTCCAAATCTATGTGATTAGAAAACTCACCCTTGGTAAAATTTCTAACATGATCAATGTTTTAGTGATCTCCTGAGAGAGGACTGGGGCCACATGCATGAGGTAGGGGATGAGGTAGGAGGGATACTTGAAAACTGATACTTGAAAACTGTGTTGCTTTATATCTTGGTTTGAGTTGAATGGAACACAATTTGGTTTTTATCTTGTTTTTTTATATTTAATGTATTATCACAAGATCAGATCTGTATTTAGAGTTTTATTTTCAAAGTAAAAAGCACATTATATAAATCAATAGAATGTGACTTTGAAAATATTGAATATTTTGATATTTTAGCATTTCTGATCTTTTCTATTGTTATAAAAGAGCAGGTTTTAATAAGATATATGCACACTTACCTAACAAGTCAGGCAATTGTATAGAATATGCATAATGAAGTATAGTCTATACAAAATTAATTGATATAATACTTTTGATCTCATGGCTTGTATCCTTATATTTCATCTTTTCATAAGAAATTCAAGTATTTAAAGAGAAGTTTGTCATAATGTCACACAGTTTCAGATCAGATGTTGTTAGCCAATCATCCAAATGGTAGGTGAATTTTTATCTACTATTTATTAACTCTTTCAATATCTATATCTATTATACTTATTATTCAAATATAAGTATCGTTGTTTTAGTAAACACGACCTATAAAGCAAACTTACACAGATAAATGATGATTAATAGTCAGGAACATTTATATCTCAAGAAACTAACATTTAGAGATGTTACAAAAATGCAAATTCAGTGTTCATTAGGAAAGAGGTCTACATCTAGTGACAAGTTGAAATAATTAGTCAAACATAACTAATCTGATTTCTGTATGTGCATGTATTTTAAGCACACACATATACGAAATTCCATTTTAAAAGTAGTTTCTTAAAATATGGAAATGTAGTAATATATTCATTGAGAGCTCTTTCTTGAACTTCCGCTTTTTTAAAAGAAGCTTTAGAAACACTTAATAAAAGTTAGCCTAATGCCAATTCACCTTTGCTGATTCTATGACATTTGAAAAACGTGCCTATGAGAGAGAGAGTTCCAAAATTCCTAGGAGAAAATAAGGGGGTAGATAAATAATATTTTTTAAAGACTGATTTTAAAACAGAGAGAATTGCTAAGCCAAACCTCGAGCTATCTCAGGATAGCTCTAAAGATCTTTCAGAGAAACTGTATGACAACAATTTTGACATTTCTATAACATCTTTAATATAACAAAAATTATACAAAAACTTTACCTTATAATTCACTTCATGAGTGGTGATATATTTTCTTATATTCTGCTGTGATTGGGTCCTGAAGAAAACAAATATGAAAAACTTTTCAATATTCATATCCTCTAAATCCATGCACAGTTATAAATAATACAAAACATGGTTATTATACATTTTTCCATACCATTCAAGAATCCAACTCATGAAAACAGAATAGGGAAAAATAGCCAATGCACTTTTTAAAAGGTAAAATATTGAGGGGCTTGAACTGTTACTTTTTTTTTTTTAAAGTCATAGCCTTTGAGACAGTGACCCCAGCTAGAATCTCAACTGTCTCATCTTGTTAGATGTGCAATTTTGGACAATTCAGCTATGTTCTCCGAACCATTATTATTTCAGCTGATTAAGAAAAATGTAACACGCCCTTTTCAGGGGCCTGAGTATTAAGTGTTATAATCCATTTGAAGTACCTAGCATTTTGTTTAATACGTAGTATTTATTTTTTATTATGTAATGTTAGTCACTTTACAGTACCCCATTAGTTTTTGATGTAGTGTTCCATGATTCATTATAAATTTAAAGTACTAGTAGTGATTTGAAATAACAATAAAACAATAAAATACTGTTTCTATTAATAGTAACTATTAATATGTATTATAAATTCAGTAATTGGTGTCCTTTGAAACTAATACAATATGATAGATCAGAAAAGAAATGCAAAAAATAGTCAAATATGAACTAAAATATTTCTAACAAGGGACTTTGACTTTGACTTTGTAAAGTCAAAATAAGTATGTTGTTATAAAATTGTGACAATTAGATGGAATTGATACTATTTTCATATTTTATAAGGTGAACAACATTTCAGTTGTACTGAAGTATTAACTTTGAAAAGACTATTGATATAAGAAAAATAAAAGATGAGTATGTAATCGCAGAGGGTAATGAGGCCTTTCAGAACCTAAAAGCAAATGGCTTAAGAATTATTATTATAGTTAGTTAAAATCAACTTAACAATGTACTTAGGCATCAGTGTGGTTTGCTATGATCCATATTTTCTAAAACTGATGAAAATGACACTTATAAAGATTAAACAGAAGCCATAAATACTTTAGGAATAAGTTAACAGAAATAGATTATTCATTCAACAATTATTTCTGAGTACCTATTAGGTACCAAACTTTATTATTTATATTGGGGTTATAGCAGCAAATAAAAGAGACAAAAACTCCTGACCTCACGGTGTTTATACTTTGGAGAACAAAATATATACTGAAATGAAAAAATATATATTCTATGTTCTATCATCAAAAGTGCTAAAAAATAAGCAGGAAGGGATTATGAAATATGGTTATAAAGATCTTCTATTCTACCAAAGCAAAAGGTCTCAAATTCCTTTAGAACCCCATGTCAGGCTCCCTGCTCAGTGGGGAGTGTGCTTCTCTCTCTCCCTCTGCTCCTCCTCCCTATTCCTGATCTCTCATTTTCTCTCTCTCTCTCAAATAAATAAACAAAATATTTTTAAAAATAGAACACATGGTACTCAGAAACTTCCTTCTCCCTAAGCTACCTACACATGCATTCTGTCATGGTTTTATTTTGGAATTCTGAACTTTTCAATATGGCTTTTCCCAAAATAAGAGTAAGGAGGACCCAGTGTGACTGATTTCTAGGTTTGGCTTTAGGAACCAGTTATGTTACAGTGTCCAGGTGCCCTGTTACGAAGAACTAGAATCACTCATTAACAGTGCATCATGGATGGCTCCATTCAACACACATGAGCATGATCTGAGTAGAGGAGCAAGAAGGATTTCCAAGGAACAGTTTTTAAGAACTGGGGTATTTGAATATTGTACCAGAGAGAAACTCATATATGAGCACACAGGGACCTATTTATGTAGAACTGACATGTTTTCCTAAGGTTAACACAGGCCTGTCAGAAATGAGGCCCATTGCATATGGCTGATCATTTCATCTCAGCTCCATTGCTAGCATAGAAAAAGCAGTATTCTCTTCCATGGGTATGACCGAGAGCACAGCACTGGCACTGTCACACAGTCCCCTAATTTTACTGTTTAAAATCTGGCAAAAGATTTCCATCCACTGAGGAATGGCTAAAGAAGATGTGAGATATATAAAGATACATATCTCATATGTGTGTGTGTGTGTGTGTGTGTGTATGTGTGTGTGTATAATTTCACATATATATGATATATACAATAATTTCCATTATACATAATTTATATATAAATTATATAAATAAAATTATATATATAATGGAAAATTACTCAGCCATAAAAAAGATTGAGATCTTTCTATTTGCAACAATGTGGATGGAACTAGAATGAATTATGCTACGAGAAATAAGTCAGTCAAAGACAAATATCACATGATTTCACTCATATTTGGAATTTAGGAAACAAAACAGATGAAAATAGGGGAAGATAATAAATTAAAAAGAAAAAAGAGGGAGGAAAACCATAAGAGGCTCTTAACTACAGAGAACAAACATGGTTGCTAGAGTGGACGTGGGAGGGTGATAGTCTTAATGGGTGAAGATTAGTAAGAAGAGCACCTGTGATGAGCACTGGATGGTGTATGTAAGTGATGAATCACTAAATTCTCCTTCTGAAACCAATATTATACTGCATGTTAACTCATTAGAATTTAAATAAAAACTTGAAACAAACAAAAATAATATAATAAAACCTGGCAAAAGAAAATTAATTTATAATTGTTCTTAGCATCTTCTGAACTACTATATCAACCAGGAGGTTTCACCAGTGAATAACAACCCCATCTTCTGAGTCATATACATTTATTCAAATAAAAGGAAACAATCTATTTAAATACTTTCTGGAAAGGATTTATAAAACTTTCTCTTAATTAAAAAACATATTTCACTGTTTAATTAAATCACACTGTCTTGTCTCTACTTAGTTATTTCTGTGTGCTAATAATATATTTTTTTAAAGATTTTATTTATTTATTTTTCAGAGAAAGAGAGAGAGTGAGCACAGGCAGACAGAGTGGCAGAGGGAGAAGCAGACTCCCTGCGGAGCAAGGAGCCCAATGCGGGACTCGATTCCAGGATGCTGGGATCATGACCTGAGCTGAAGGCAGCCGCCTAACCAACTGAGCCACCCAGGCGTCCCACTAATAATATTTTTAAATGCAATGATCATTTTAGAGATAATTTCAGTAAGTATTCTTTGTACTTGCTAGCTCTCCAAATATACTTCAAAGTATACTTTAAAAAATGTTTAAAATACATGTATGTAGTCACATAAAAATGTATTCTCACTATATATATATATAGGCTATGGTATCAAAGCTATTCATATTATGTAACATTCCATTTGACTTCACTTTATTCTCCAAATTACAGGCATAGTATATACTCACAAAAACTAAAGTCTCTGAAGGTTGTCCAAAAAATAACAGAGAGAGAGAAATGTCAGCAGAGTAAAATACTATATTCCTTTGATGCAATTTTGTTAAAAATCTTATTAAAATTATTTTAGAACAGTTTAGGTTCACAACAAAAGTGAAGGGAAGGTACAGAGATTTCCCATATACCCCCATCCACACACAATGCATAGCTTTCCCCCCGTATCAACATCCCCACCATAGTGGTACATTTACTGAAATTTATGAACCTACATTGGCACCTCATAATCACCCGAAGTTCATAATTTGTGTATGGTTCACACTTGGTATTATATATTCTATGGGTTTGGATTAATGTTTGACATGCATCCATTATCATTATGGTACATAACCCCAACCAATTCCTTCCTCCTTGTGAAAGCCAGCTAAACCAGTCCCGGATGCCTGACTTAGAGAAACTATGAGATAACATATAGATGTTTTAACACACTAAGTCTGTGGTAATTTGTTCATGGCAATAGAAAAACTAATAAAACTACTTCAAAGGGGGCACCTGGGTGGCTCAGTGGGTTAAAGCCTCTGCCTTCGGCTCAGGTCATGATCTCAGGGTCCTGGGATCGAGCCCTACATAGGGCTCTCTGCTCAGCAGGGAGCCTGCTTCCTCCTCTCTCTCTGCCTGCCTCTCTGCCTACTTGTGATCTCTCTGTCAAATAAATAAATAAAAATTTAAAAAAAAAAACTACTTCAAAGTGATACAGGAATCAGTAAATTTCTAATTCAGCTTTTTGACTTGGAAAGTTCAATGTAAATGCATTTATTTTAGCAACTCCAAAAGATTTTTCCTTCTATATTAACCTTTTCAGAATGTTAATAATTAAAACTGAAATGTTGTTTTTAATTTCAGATATTTTCAAATGTGCTTTTCACATTAAAAACAGGAAAAACAAATGTTTAGAAAAACAAAGTAAGTTGAAAAAATAGAGCATTCTGTATTTAAAAACAAGGTCATTTTCCTTAGAAATGCTTTTATACTCCATATACGTTGATCATTATAACTTATCCCTTATTTTAACACTTGGAATTAACTAGATAAATTAACTCTCCTCCATACGTAAAAATTGCTAAAGGAAAATAGTCATATTCTGTATGGTTTGGTTTGTACTTCCAACATAACAACAATAAAACCAAACATTTTGACTGAATCACATTGGAAAGTCATCAGCAACAGGACTCCACTACATAATATAATTAAGAGTGCAATGTATAAATAATCTTTTGCTCCTTGATACAAGGTGTTGCTCGTTCATTAGTATTAGGGTCATTTGTAAGCCAATTTTGTTATTACCCTGAAACGACATTGTTGTTAAATTGTGATAAAGGGGAAACCATAAATTGGGAAAGAATTTTAATGGTCATTATCTTCATTAGCTAATGAGATGTGCTAATTATGTTCTTAAATGACAATGATTTAGTAGCCCTGGCAAAGAGGACTCACAGAGCAGTCCCCTTCAATGTGTTTTCACAGTGCTGAAAAAGACATAACTAAGAGCCATAATTATGTTATGTATAACATTATTCATTAAAAATGTCTATCTAAGTTATGTTAGATTTCATGTTGTTTTTCCATGATTTATTTGCATAAAATCTAGGATACTGAAAATGTGACAGAGAAAATTGCATTAAAGATGTACT